CCGGCGCTCCCCGGCCTGCGGCCCGCGGCCTCCGCTGCTCGTCGCTCTGCGCAGCGTGGGCTCGTCCCGGCACCGAAACTTTCGCTCGGGGAAAGCGAGAGGGCGGGCGGGCTCGCAGGCTCCACCCGGCCGGTGCGGGGCACGCGCGTCCACGCAGTCCGGCTCCGCGGAGCCCAGGGGCCGGGTCTCCGCAGCCGGCCCGCGTCCGAGGGGCACTGTCGGGGACACAGCTGGGGCCCGGGACAACGGTCTCCGTCCCTCCTGCGACCAGACCCCGAAGGCTGACAAACAGTAAACAAAAGTAAGAGTTTGGGGACGCGGCTGGGGGCTGTGGGGCGGCTCCGGTGGCCGGGCCGCCTGCGCAGGGACCCGAGTGCCTCCCGCACACGTAGGTTTCAGCCGCCCCGAGTGTGCGGGCAGTGCGGTGCGCTGGGTCCGCAGTCCCCTCCCCCTGGCGCCGCGGAACTACAGGAATCCTCCCCTCGGAAGCAGAAACGCTGAGTCCAGATTTCAGCGTGTCATGGTCTGCAACCTCCCCGAAACACGTGCGGGGCGTCCGAAAACACCGCCTTTCCACCCGAAATCGCCCCGATATTAATTAAACCATTAATAAGAGGGCGCCATTAGCCATGTGCCCACACAAATGGCCGTGCAAGAGGAATGCACCCGCATGGAAACAAAGTTACTTTCTGAAAGCAGGATTTCTCCCCCACCCGGACACACGCGCGCACACACACAGCAACACGCGCAGAGCCGGGCACACACGGAGACACATGCCCCGAGCCCCGCCGGCGCGAGGGTCCCCGGCACCCCCTGCCCAGCCCCAAATTGCCCCCGCCACCTCGACCCCCCACCCTCCGCATCCAAAGAGCTACTTACCTGGGTGAGACAGAGCGGAGAATACATAACTGCCGTGCGGTGGGGTGTGTGTGTGCGGCTGGGTGTGTGGTTTGGAGGTGTGCGTGAGTGTGGGTGCAAAAGGAGAAAGAGAGGGAGAGAGGAAGAGAGAGAGAGAAGGGGGGAGAAAAAAAATCAAGCCTGCTTCTTGCGTTCACATTTCCAACTCGGCTCAACTGCAGCCAGCCAGCGTTATTGCCGCTCCATGAGCTGAACTTTAACCCCGCCTAGAGTTTCCCCACACTCCACTATACATGTCTACTGTACGCGGGCGTTAAAGGCATAGCGCACCCTTTCCCGCTCCCGCGCCAGCCCGGCCGGGTGCCCGCGAGCTGCCCGCGCGCCCGCCTCCGCCTTCGTTCTGCACCGCAC